GCACTTAGTAGTTATTGGTTCTTTGTATATTGGTGTTTTGGTATATACTTAAGCCATTGACAAAATTGAAGACTAGCCGATGTGAAGACAGAAGGTCACCGATGCGGTGTTGTGGATCAACTGTCTAATATATACACCAAGACTCCAAAGTAGCTGAAATAAATATTGAAAATATTTTGATGCTACAAGCCGATTGAAGGAAGATTTTCATAGACCGAAGATTGAAAATATTCATGGACTCAAGATTGAAGATCATGGACCGAAGATTGAAAATCTTCATGGACTCAAGATTGAAAATCATGGACCGAAAATTGAAAATCTTCGTGGACTGAAGATTTGTGAGTAGCTGCTTGAAGCTACATATCCATCCAAAGAAGATCTTCGTATAGACTGACCATATCTCTACAAAGTTTGTCTCTGCATGAACAATGTTGTATGCATGTTGTGTACGATGAAAATGAGATATCAAAATTGGTCAAGTCAACCCCTGCCTTCTTATCCTCAAGTGACAAGTGTCCCCATGCATTAAATGTTGAAGGTAATATAAAAAGGCAGTGTGCATCTCCCATGAACAGTACTGGCTTTTGCAAGATTACTTAGTGTATTCTAAAAGCAATCGGCTATTCTCTTCTACTCCCTTGCTCTCCTGTGTGCGAAGAAATTCTTAGTGTTCTTCATTTCYTTTCAAGAACTTTCTGTGTTGTTCTTGAAAGTTCTTCTCCTTGTAAGATTGTTTAGGTTAGGTTTTCCTTTCCTATCTTCCGSAACAATCTTTTRTWTTTCTGTGTGTATTAATTCTTGATATAAATCAATAAGAATTAAAAAGTTGAAAAAAATCTGTGTAATTGTATTCAACCCCCCTTCTACAATTACTTTCTGTTTATTGCCTTTCCCTTCGGGACTAACAATTAGGATGACACTTTTTGATGCCTTGTATGGGCGGAAGTGTAGAACTCAAATGTGTTGGCTTGAAGTGGATGAGAAACAATTTGCTGGTCCCGAGATCGTCCAAGACACGGCCGACAAAGTGAAGGGTATTCGTGAACTCTTGAAGACTGCTCAAGATCATCAAAAGGGTTACGTCGTTAAGAAGAGAAGACAAATAGAGTTCCAAGGCAACCATGTGATGTTGAAGGTGTCCCCTTGGAAATGAATCATACTATTTGGGAAGCTTGAGAAACTCAGTTCTTGTTTCCTTGGACCTTTCAAAAATTTGGGTAGAATGGGGATCCAAGCCTACAGATTGGAGTTGCCACCCAAGATGGCCGGAATTCACAACATCTTTCATGTTTGCTATCTACGCAAATGTTTGACAAAAGGAGAAAGTTAGATTCCCCTCTCGGACATTCATGTGGATGAGAACAACTATTGTGTTAAAGATATGCCATAAAGAGATGTTATGGTCAAAGTACAATGGAAACATCACTGAGGCTCGAACTTAATGTGGGAAGCGGAAGAAGGCATGAAGAGGTGGTACCCTCACCTTTTTTCTTTAGTTTGAGATTTTGAGGATGAAATTAAATTCAACGTCGTTAGGATTATAACGCCCCATAATTTTCGTTAATATCTTTTATTTTGAGTACATCTATAATTATAGTTCTTTAGTGCTTAAGTTAAGATCCTTTGAATGTATCTTTGTCGTTTTAGTGTTGGCGCTTCAAAACTCAAGAAAATGAACTGATAAGGATGAAAGTGGGCCAAACTAGTTTCAGAGCTAGTTCTTCACTAGTTTAACTAGCGGTGAAACGAACGAACACCACTGTTTGATTTCTTCAAGTGCTAGGGCTAGTTTGTTCGCTAGTTTAACTAGTGGTGATATTAGTGAACACCACTGGACAACGTTTTAAGAGCCGATTTTTGTGTTTTCACTTTCATTTTCTCACCAAACTCTTTTCTCTCCCAAATTTCTTCTTCCCTCCTTATTGAATGTGATTTCCTTAGTATTTATTCCATATTTCCACCCATCTAAGATCATTTAAACCTCGTCTAGGATAAAGATCCAAGTCTCAAGTTCAAGATCCAAGTGTTCTTCCCTATCTCCAAGCATTTCTTGATTTTCTAGGTTTTCATCAAAACCTAGGCATGTTAAAATGACGCCTTTTACTTCCTCTAAGTTTTCATTTCAAGTATTTTTGTGTGGTTGATTTTGGTTCATTTAGGTCAAATTTGAGAATTTTACATATTTTAATGAAACAAGTGTGGGGGAATGATTTTCAAATACTTTGGGAAACGTTATTTCACTGTATTAAGGAATTTGAAACTCAAAACTATGATGTTCTTATGTTCGAGATTTTGTGATAAAATGGGATTTTGCCTACTTAATGAGATTATGTACAATTGTTTCTAGAATGGGTAAATCTTGATTTATTTAGATAGATAGATATTTACGGCTAGAATGCTATCTATCCATAGGTATAGAAGTTGGTTCTTATGAAACGTGAAGGAGGGAATCTCTTATTTATAAATTAAAAATAGGTATTGTGATTATTATGTAATTTTCAGTTCATTCATTTACTGTAACTTGGAAATAAGTATTGTGATTATTATGTAATTTCTGAGTGAACGAGCTTATGACCACAATTGACTATTAGACTAGATTTATTTATGTCAATGGCTTTATGCCTATAAGTGATGCTCTAATAACATTAGTTTGTGGCTTATTTATGTGTTCCGTCATAATGAATGGTAAATCCGGTCTATCCCGTTATCTTTGAATGTTTTAAGCCCCTCCAAGGGTGAGTGTGAGTAAGTTGTACAAATAACCCGATTAAAATGACATTTTTCTATCTTAATGTTCTATAGCTTTATTCAATAACTGTTGTTCTCACTAAGCCTAACTCTGTTCTTAAATAATATGTATATCAGGTTCTCTTAGCTATGGAGCTCCTAAGTCTTGAGCAGAGCAATGGTTGCCAATAGTGGCACTTTTGGTGAATTGGCGTTACTTACGCATTGAAAGGAATTTTGTTGGAAAGAAAATAGAGATACCCGTCTATAATCTAATTTAGGATAATTTATATTAGTAAGTTGTTATTTATATTATTTTATATTTGAGATTGTAAACGCTATACTATTTCTCTACTCTTGGGTGATTTTATATTTCATAGGTTCTATTTCTATCCTAATGTTCGGTTTAAATTGTCTCATATTTTAGGGATGTTACATGATGACACTTAATTGGTAAACGCCTATCATCAATCCATTTTGACGGTTGAAAATGTTACCCATAAGTTAAACGAGAGTATTAACTCTAGGCATGTGAATGGGGCAATCATGGGGCGGGGACTCCAATCCCCATCCCCGATCCCAATCTTCGTCTCCATCCCCATTCCCACCGGAAAATATGAGTACATCCTCATCTCCATCTCCAACGGGGAACGGAAAATCGGGGATTTCCCCCCTGTTGTTGTAGGATATTATAAATCAAATGTGTTAAATGTCAAACTCGATAGATAATGGTTTATGTTTAAAACTTACATATTTTCAAAATTTGCTTTTATGGAGTATCAATATATGAACAAAAGCATATCACATTCGTAATTGTTTGATCAAACGTTTTTCGACTTTCCATGTTTTTTTTATCTAAAAAAGTAAGACAACTCAAAAAAATGTAAAAAATAAATAAATGTCAATATACTAGTTCTAAATTTAAAAAATATTAGATCTGATTCTTTATAAATAACATATTTAATAATAAATATATATAATATGTTTAATATTCCGAGGCGGGACGGGACAAGGACCACGTTACCTATCCCCGAATTTTAACTTTCGTGGCCCCCGTCCCCGTCGAGGCGGTACACTGGGTTCCCCAATGGGACGAGTCTCATTCCCATGCCTATTTGACTTTTCGGTAAACGCTTACCCAATAAACATTTGGTGAACGACCCCTATTTATCCAATATGGTATAAAAACAACCTTGATTGACGGCCAACTCCCAACTAGGAAATATAAGTTACGTCTTAGGCCTTCTCATATGTCCCCAGTTCGAGTATTGTCCGGGTCACTACGGACTTTACTGACTGTTATCTTCAGAACTCCATTGGATTAGTCAATATACACGCAAACTAGTTCAAACACCCATGATTACAAAAATAACATTAAATACCTATCCCAATTTCACCAATGGTGCACAAGCTAGTCTCGGTCTCCTCCCTATAGATCGTCAGTGTAAGTCTCCTCACAGCCACTAGGAATTTTTCCGACTATTATCTTTGATAAGGATTCCACTGAATTAATGAACGCATACACAAACTGATCCCAACATCCATGGTTCACCAAGATGAACATTCTTAATGGTTCATATCGAGGCGTGGCCGGTTCACCGACATGTGATCCCATATACACGTATATATGTTCTAGTCGGGTCGGAACAATTCAACATCTTGAGTCGAATGTATTTGGATTGTGAGCTTGGACGTGGGTGGTTAATTAGTTGGGCTATCCTATGTTTTTCCCCATTAATTGATTTTTATTAAAATACGTTACATTAGATGTTACAAAAAAAATAGTGTCTTAAAAATAAAAATAAAATAATGATGTCGGAACTACAAGGGTGGTGCCTGATTGGTTTGAGGTTGACTTTAAAGGTCAAAAATATCAAGAGGTTCAAATCCAAATAGAAATAAAAATCATTTTGTTACCACAGAGGTTCAAATACGGTGATTCCGGACTATCTACAAAATAGGTGCTTGTACTGGAATTAGTCGGCCACATAACGGGTTGGATATCAACGTTAATAAAAAATAAAAAATAAAAAATAAATAATGATGTCGGTAAAGATGAAGGAAAAAGTATTAAAGAAAAGGTTACACGTTGCAAATCCAGCCGATAAATTATGTTTCGGACTTTTTCTTATTTCAGATCAACCCACGACTATCTCTCGTTGGTAGTTGTTGCTTAGTCCGACTTCTATTCATTGACACACACTTAGCGTGTTTTTAGTGCGTGTAAGCTGTATCTATATATCTATATATATATACACACACACACATATTTCACACACTATTTCTTCTTCAAATCTCATCACTTACTCTCATTTGTCGATCTCGATCTCTCTATATATATCTCTCTCTCCCTCACCATGTCCATAAATTTGTGACGAAATTGAAGAACAAAGGCACATATTATCATCAAAGCTTAAGGTGTCAGCCATGTCTGTGGTAGATCCTTGGCCGATGAATTGAAAAAAACAATCAATTTATATCAGAAGATTTCTTATTCCCACGTTTAAAAGTCGATTTTGGAGCTGGGTGTTTGATTTTCTTGAAAAAGAGATGAAAATTCGAGGGTTTTTGATAAAGCATAGAGTCAGTTCACTTTTCCGGCGAGTTTGCCGGAGAAATCTTTCGCCATCAGCGGGTTACAGACGGTTAGACCAGTCTCCGAGGTCTATGTCAAAGTTGCTAAAGTGGGGTGTTCGGCTCAAGACGAAAGCAATGGCTATATGTTCGAAAAACTCCGGTTTTCAGCAGAAGAACCTGGTTCTTGGAAAGGGTTTAGCTCAGCCGCGGGCGGCGGTGCCGAAAGGGAAGATGGCGGTGTACGTCGGTCAGAAAGATGGAGACTTCAAGAGGGTGTTGGTGCCGGTGATATATATAAACCACCCTTTGTTTGGGCAGTTACTAAGGGAGGCGGAGGAGGAGTACGGCCACAACCACTCAGGCGGGATCACCATACCTTGCCGGATTTCGGAGTTTGAGAACGTGAAGACTCGGATCGCCGCCGTATGTGGTTGCCGGAAATTGCTGACGCGGTGGAGGCGTACAATCTGACGATGACGATTAATAGCAAGGCTTTTTTTAGGGTGTTTTTAGGTTAAACCTTTTTTCATGGCAAATGTGTAAAATCCAGAGTAACAAAGATGTATTAACTTGTATCCTGTGCATAAAAAGTTGTACTGTATTTTGGATTTGGTCATTTTTGCTTTGAAAAAGTCCTTCATTTTTTTTACAATTCTATTTTTGTCATTATATTATTAAACATCATCTCCAATATAGAGCTTGAAGAAAACTCAAATACGGGTCTCTTTCCACCTAAACATGAAACTCTTTCCATCCAATACAAGAGTGGTGCCTGGTTGATTTGAGCTTCACTTCAAAGGTCAAAAGTACCATAAGGTCCCAGATTCAAATTCAAGGAGGAATAAAAATCCCCTTGTGGCCACGGAGGTTCAAATGCGGTGATTTCGAGCTATCTGCAAAACAGGTTCGTCCTGAGATTCGTTGGCTCGCAAAATGGGTTGGATATTCAGGTTAATTAAAAAAAAAACTCTTTCGACCACAAACTGAACACAAAATGTTAAGAGTTTCTACACATATTTCTTATAGCTGGGTCATGAATGGTAGATCTCTACAACCACATGAGTGGTGTCTGATTGGTTTGAGCTTAAACTCCAAAAGTTAAAAGTACCTGGAGGTCTTGAGTTCAAATCCAAAGAGAAATAAAAATTCTTTTGTGGCTACGGAGGTTCAAATGTGGTGACTCCGGACTACCCGCAAAGCAGGTGGTCGTCTTGGGATTAGTCGACTTGCATAGCAGGTTGGATATCTAGGTTAATAGAAAAGAAAATAGATATGTATAAAATGTTTTAGCATTGAATCAGATGAAACATGACCTCTATTAATTTTAATGTTTTAATGTTAGTTTGAAGACATTAACAATTTACCTTTTCTTTTTCAAATTATATTGTAGTAACTCCAATAGCAAGGGTGAAGGGTCGAACTAAGAATTGTTCTTTTTCTTGTAATCTTGACCAATTTATGTACATCTGAAGGTTAGTTTCTTGAGACTTTGAAGAACAAACCAAAAGATACTCGATTAATTGTATTAATCGTTTATAAGGGTTGGTTTCCGATGAGAAAGAAAGTTAAGATGAAAAACATAAGAAATGATCACCACTCTTAAATACACATTATGATGAGATGCACCAGATTAATCCATGTATCAAATACAATTCATGAGTGAGTTTGAGATTAAAAGTAATTAATGATCCAAATCCCTTTTTATGTTTCACAATTTAACTCTATTTCCCACACGACCTTTCACCTTGTCCGTAACAAGTACTCATTATATGAACAACACAAATTTGAATTCATTTTCTTAAACACTTTATACGATAAAATGGTCTCTTTTTTCTTTTATCAATTTAAAAATACAATGACTGTGTTGATTTTTTTAAAAGTATATCACATATGTTTTCAAATTTCAACTAAATTAAAAGTTTTAATTTTAAAAAAATATATAACATTATCCTATAAAATATTTGCTATTAATCTATTATTTTGATATTTTTTAAAGAAATTATAATAAACCATGTTATTCAAGTCGTGTCAAATATTTATAAGAATATTTTAAGCAGATATACAATATTTCCTCTTTTTTTCCTCAAATTTAGTTTTATTTTCTCATATTCTTGTCTCTATTTCAGATAAAAGTCCATCATATCTGTTAAATCAAACTTTTTTTTTGTATCTTTAAAATTTCTAAAATAAAATAGCTGTTTGTTTTAAAACAGTATATTTGTGGGTGTAGTTGTGAAAGAATATTTGTTTTTTATTATATTCTTTGGACATAATTAAGGGTATTTTGGGATAAATGAATAATACTCCACCATCTAATATTATATAATTTTTTATTTAAAACTATAAATGATATTATTCTTTAGGTGGTATAATGCATTTGGATATAAATCGTACTCGAAAAAAATAAAAATAAAAGGAGATATGTATATGTCAAAAGTTATTAATTGCGTTTGCACAAATCTTGATTTCTTGAAAATCAACGAATATATAATAAAACAAATTTTTGCACGAAGTACAATTATGGATCTCAATAAATGGAGTCATTAATGTGTCCAACATACCACTTTATTAAAGTCATTCCTGGCTTACTTAAAGTACTCGTTTTTAACCAATGGAGATCAGGTTTCTATTTTATATATAGTCTTCTTTTGACAACATATATAGAGAGGGGTTAGATTGCAAACCAGCTATTTCATGTAAATTATAGAAATTAATTTCAATTAATAGAAAAATTTCATGTTTTATTTTTTATTTTTAATGAACTAGAAGAGTACCCGTGCAATGCAACGAGATACATCATCATTTTTTAATGTTTTATTTTATTATTTGTCTCTGTCGATGTTATAATACGATTTTATGTGTTTTTAAGAAAACAATAATGATTTTATTTTTGAATAATATATAAATCTGATGATATCATAAAATTTTGAAAAAAATATATATCAATGTTAATATCAAATCAACTATTTAAAATTTCTTATTTTGTAATTTCTATAATTTATTTTTTTTATTATAATTTAATTTAAGTTTAATAACGAAATAATTTATTTTTGGTTTAATAATATAACATTTTATAAAGATAATAATTAAGTATTCAGTTAGAATTCAATGATTATCTTAATTATATTTTAGATTTTTTATATTTAAAAWRAGATGTTTATCTTATGTTTGATTATGTTTATCTGCAGTTAGTTACACGAATTCAGATATGAAACATTAATAAGTTGTACTTACGCACAATCTACTTGCAATCTTGAGTTCTAAGTAATATGCATTAATAAACAGTACTTTACGCATGAAAAGTGAGTTTTAAGAGTTTTTGTCAAAGATTTGTAATATAATATAGACAAGGTTGAATGTCATTTTACTTTGTAATGATTAATCTTGATAATGTTTTAATTGCTTTTAAATATGGAAAACTAAATATAGTAACTTAATATATATTAATAGTTTATTTTCTTTATTAAATTATCACCATCCCTACATACAATGTGATACCTAAAACACACCAAGTAAACTTTGAGACCACTATGATACATACGTTGTATACATATGTATGTGTGTACAATGTGCACAATGTCTGTTGTATATGTGCAATGTGTGTATGCAATGTGTATGTGTGTAGTGTATGTATGTGTGTTGCACGTCTGGAGGTTGGGTTGGAGAAGAAGGTTGGCATGGAGATGACCACCGGAGTGGAGGGTTCTCCTGGCTGGTGGGTGCTATCGGATGGAAGGTGTTGGAGGGTGATCGATGAGGGTGTTTGAGGGGGGGGGGGATCGAGGGGAGTGTCGATGGAGATGGTGGTCAGTGGCGGGGATGGGGGAAGGGAGATAGGTTGTGAGGGAATTAGAGGGACAAAAATGAGACTAGCTATCGAGAATACTCATAGGTGAGTGTTTAGTGGTCGATCATCGGAGACGACGTCTTGGTCAGACAACATGACCAGAAGAGGTCACCGGAGTGGTGGTGGGTACCAGAGAAGGCCAACAGATTTGGTCCGTGTGTGTGTGTGTATATATTAAAATAATTAAACTAATTAAAGTAAATTGAAATATTAAACTAATTAAAGTACAATGAATAATCAACACAATTTACTAATTTACACTTTGTTTTATTTTAGTAAATAACATTAATTATCTAAAATGAAACAAGTTTATAGAACATGTTTTTCCTCGTTCTGCCCTTCCGTGTCTCTAATATGAATTTTTTTTACTTTAGTTATTTAATTTGTTTCAATCTTGGTCTTTCATAAAAAAATGGATAAATGTGATTAGTTTGTAAGGTTTGTATGAAATGGATGGTTTGCAAAGTAAACCCCCCCCCCC